GTCATTTCCCGGATGATCAATGTTTAGAGTCAGCTATTTGTTTCAAGTTTGATTTCTAATGTAATTTTAGATGGTAGCAATACAGAAAATCTATGACGAATTGAAAAGTATTAGGACATATTTAATTAAAATAGGGAGTGACCGGCGCAATAAGGGTGAATGTTTGGTTAGAAAAGTAGAGGAAGCCAAAATAGTATATTTACAATTACAAACAGTTATAACGCACTTTGATAAAGATTTGAATTTGTATACTGAGGAAGAAGTTGAACAGTTTAAAAAATCCGTAGCTGCCGTTAATAAGGTATACCACGAAATTTTAAGTTTTGTGAAAGAAAAAAGCACCGATTTTCTCAAAATGGCTTTCGATCTCAAAGTAGCTTGCAATCTGTTGCCAATAATGAATGGTAAAGAAGATGTCACTTTGCAACTTTTAGATGCCATTGAATTATACGATACCATGTTGGATACAAATAATAAAACAAATTTAATCAATTTTGTTTTAAAAACTCGTTTGTCTCCAAGCGCAAAAATTAGGCTGAATCGTACTTATAACTCAGTACAAGCGCTAGTTACAGATATGAAAATACATCTTCTAACTAGGAAATCCGATACGGCCCTACAAACAAAATTAATGCGCACAATTCAAGGTAATAAATCAATAGAGGATTTCGGTAAGGAAATTGAAGATCTCTTTGTAAATTTAACAATATCCCAAGCTAATGGAGATGATGATAATTTTAAGGTACTAAAGCCCGTGAACGAAAGAATTGCCATCAAACAATTTTCAGATGGATTACGAGATTCCAAACTTAGTACGATAATAAACAGCTCGAAATTTTACCAGTTTAAAAGACTGTATTAGATCTGCCATTGATGAAAATGCTACTCGAAGGCATGAAAATGATTCACAGGTCTTATCCATGTCTACTCGTGGCAGAGGATCAAAATTTTATCAGGATAGGAGTCGTGGTCAATTTGAAAGGAATTTCAGGGGGTTCCATAATAATATTCCAAACAGTAACTTTAACGTCAATAATCCAAACCGAACACAAAATTTTGGATATTATAACAATGCTCGATATTTTAACAACAATCGCGGTAATCATTTCAGAAACAATCAATATAGAGGTCGAAATACATACAATCAGGTTCCAAATAGGCGAAATACAAACAATCAAAATTTAAACAATCGCACTACAAACAGTCGACATTCAAATTTCCGTAATCAGGTGAATCATACTGTAGGAGAAAATATGCGGGAACAGTTTTTTCGTGCCCAAGCAAATTAATCGAATCAATGCATATTCAGGAGTAGATTGCATAAAAGTTAATATCAAAGAAAACAAATTAAGGTTCTTAGTGGATACTGGAGCTAGTTTGTCAGCGATAAAGTTACATTGTTTACCTCATGGCACTATAATTCAACAAGATCGAATAAAAATTAGAGGAATAGGAGGTAACATTTTTTCAGAAGGATTTGCATATTTAACTGTCGATATAAAGGGAAACATTTTTCAACAAAAATTTTACATTTTTAAAAATTTGAATTGTGTAAATGATGGAATTCTTGGTAGAAATTTTATTAAAAAACACAAAGGAAATATTAATTACGCGGAAAATACAATGACATTGTCAAATTGCGACAGTACAGTAACAGTACCTTTGGAATCAGACCAGAATCACAATATTTTAGTAATTCCACCACGTTGCGAAACAATTCAGTATTTACCAATAGCAACTAATGAAGATTGTGTAGTATTACCGAAACAATTAGGTGAAAATGTGTTTTTAGCAGGAGTTGTTGCGAGACCTCGAAACTCAGAAATACCGGTAAAAATTTTAAATACTAACGAAGAGGAAATTCGATTAAAAACATGGATTCCTGAAACTCACAAATTAAGTGATTATAAGTATTGCAAATTTGATTTAACACAAAATTCAATCGACAAAGTTAAAGAAGTTTTAGATACTATCAATGCTGATAAATTAAACAAAGAAGAGCGAGATTCTATCATGAAAATTTGTGCTAAATATGCAGATATTTTCCATTTACCAAATGATAAATTGTCAACAACAAATATTTATGAACAATCAATAACTTTGAAAGAAAATACAAAACCAGTTTACGTTAAACCTTATAGAATACCACATGCGCAAAAAACCGAAGTTGACACGCAGATACGTCAAATGTGTGATAATAATATTATTGAACCTACGAAAAGCGAATGGTCATCACCTATTCTCCTAGTACCTAAAAAGGTAGGCGTAAATAATCAAAAGAAATGGAGATTAGTGGTCGACTATCGTCTTTTAAATCAGAAAATTCAGGATGATAAATTTCCACTTCCCAACATAACAGATATTTTTGACTCACTTTCAGGTGCAGTATATTTTTCTCATTTAGATCTTAGTCAAGGATTTTATCAAGTAAAACTAGATAAAGATAGTAGACCCTTCACAGCATTTACAACGAGTCAAGGACAATTTCAGATGAAGAGGCTTCCAATGGGTTTAAAAACAAGTCCTAGTTCGTTTTCACGTATAATGACAGTTGCAATGTCAGGCCTAAACTATGAAAGTTGTTTCGTATATTTAGACGATTTAATAGTTTTTGGAAGAAATTTGAACGATCACAATTCTAATTTAATTAAAGTTTTTGAGAGGCTCCGAAAAGTAAATTTAAAGCTCAATCCTAACAAATGCGAATTTTTAAAGAAAGAAATATTATATTTGGGACACATCATAACTTCTGAAGGTATTTTACCCGATCCAAACAAAATTCAAGTGCTAAAAGAGTATCCCGTTCCGAAAAATTCCGATGAAGTCAAAAGATTCGTAGCTTTTGCAAATTACTATAGGAAATATATACCAAACTTTGCTGAAATTGCTATACCGTTAAATATTTTAAGTAGGAAAAATGTTAACTTTAACTGGACAAAAGAATGTGAAGAATCATTTCGAACTTTGAAAGAATCGTTAATACAACCACCCGTGCTTCAATATCCAATTTTTTCTGAAAATAATGAATTTATTGTTCAAACGGATGCAAGTGGGTTTGCAGTAGGAGCAGTGTTATCGAATAAAAATAGAAAACCAGTTGCTTATGCAAGCAGAAGTTTAAATAAAGCAGAAGTACGATATTCTACTATTGAAAAAGAATTACTCGCCATTGTATGGGCAGTAAAACATTTCCGACCTTGCTTATATGGTAAACATTTCAAAATTTTAACAGATCACCGACCGTTAATTTATTTATTCAATATGACAAATCCATCAAGTAGACTCACAAAATTTAGGTTGTGTTTAGAGGAATATGATTTTACAGTAGAGTACGAGTATGTAAAAGGATGTGATAGTGTAGCTGCAGATGCGTTGTCACGTGTTTTTATTAACAATATTACATCAGATGAGTTAAAAAGCATGAATGAAAAAATACTTAATGTTATGACTAGAGCAAAACAGAAAACGATACAAAATGAACTACAATCAAACAAGGCGGAAGAGAATTTAGATAATATAAGGACTGGCCATCCGAGTGTTGTAGAGATTCTTAAAAAGCCAGCAGACAGTGTAGAACTTGTAATAACTAACGAATCAGAAATAAACAAAAAGCTTAAATTGGAACATACAATGTCCAAAAATAAAAATTTTCTGTACAACCCTTCCTTGTCAGCTTTGTATATGAATCTGAATTCTTTATCAATGATAGCGCGACACGAATTGTTGAAAGATTTAGAAATTCTATGCAAGGAAATAAATGTGCAAGAATTAATCGTTATTAAAACTGAAAGTAATATGCATGAAGTCAAAAAGCTAGCTAGTATGATTAATGAATGTAAGAAAACCGTAGGATTAAATAATAGTAAAGATTTTCCAAGAATATGTGTTGTAAATAATCCTAAAAGAATTACAGACGATGATATGAAAAAAGTTATTTTAAATGACTTTCATTTACTTCCAACTAGCGGACATGCGGGTGTAAAGCGCATGACAAATAATATTAAAAAATATTACTTTTGGAAAGGCATGACAGAGGATATTAGTAATTTTGTTAAACATTGTGATAGTTGCCAAAGACAGAAATATAGTAACAGTATAAAGGAACCTATGGTAGTAACGACAACAGCAAGCACTGCATTTGAAAAAATATATCTAGATATTGTAGGTCCAATCGAAAGAGACGTAAGTAATTTTTCATATATTTTAACCTTACAATGTGAACTAACAAAATATGTAGAAGCTTATCCCTTAGAAAACAAAGAAACTATAACTATCGCTAAGGCATTTGTCGAAAATTTTATTTTAAGATATGGAGTTCCTAAAATAATAGCCACTGATCAAGGAACTGAATTTATTTCAAGTACAATGAATGAAGTTTGCAGTTTGCTAAAAATTGATAAAATTCATCCAACAGCATATCATCATGAGAGTATAGGCGCTTTGGAAAATTCACATAAAGTTTTAGGTGCATATTTAAGAACCATGTGTAATAATCAGGCAACAAACTGGAGTTCTTGGATACCTTATTGGTGTTTCAGTTATAATACAACTGTTCATACTGAAACTCAGTACACGCCTTTTGAATTAGTATTTGGTAAGATATGTAGTCTTCCAACGCATTTAACTACATGCGTAGATCCTTTGTATAATTTTAATAGTTATCCATTAGAATTGAAGTTTAGGTTACAACAAGCTCATTTAGATGCTAGGAATAATTTAATTACAAATAAAATTAAAAGGAAACAGGTGTATGATAAGAATGTTAGGTCAGCAAAATATGAAAAAGACGATTTAATTTTAATCAAAAAAGAAACAGGTAATAAATTTAGTGTAATTTTTGAAGGACCTTTTAAAGTGACAAAAGACCTATCGCCCAATGTTGAAGTATTAAAGGACAATAAGAAGTTAGTTGTACATAAAAACAGAACTAAGCGGTATTATGATTAGAATAAGTAATTCTTTTGTGACATTGACATTAGATATCTTAACCTACATAATTGTTTACGAGTGTATTGTTTCTTGCTGATGCATATAACATGTGTTGAAACTGAATCTTGTAACTATTAACCTAGTAGTACAATTACATGTAATACGAACATATAAAAAAAGTGTGTATTTACAAACATTTTTTTTTAAGAAATCCCGGAAGGTGTAGTGGAGTAATCAATGAGTAATGTGTAGACAGCGGATTTCTGTCGGGCTACGTCACGATTATAGGTGGGGACGTGCTGGATCGCCGGGACTCAGTAGCGGGTGATATACATAATCACTGAATTTAATCGTTACTTATTCCATAAATACAATTAACGATTTATTAATCAAACGTCTAAGTAAATGAGAACGGGAATTAACAGCAGAATGCAATGAAGCAGCGTTATTCTAATCGCAAATAAACGATGTGCAGCTCGTAACTGTAATGAATTCCCATCCCGTACGAGCCGTACCGAGCTTGGCCTTGCCTAGCCCGACAGAAATCCGCTCTCTAGTAATGTGTGAAAGAGAGAGTGAATGATTAGAGTAGGGATTAATGTAGATGTAAGCAATAGTGTATGTAATAAGACTAATAAGAAATGTATTAAGTAGAGAGTAAGAAGTTAGTAAGTAAGGAGTAAGTGTCTAGGCAACCAAGCGGTGTAAGAGAGAAGAATAATAAAGATATGTAGTAGTTAAGTGGTGAGTTTCAATAGTGCGTAACCTGGCTAAGCTGCCTACCCCCGGCAAGCACTACAATCCTATACATCTGTTTGGAATCAATGCAAATATTTGAATATCACAAATTTAATAAAATAAAGCAAAATCCGACTTAAGTAACTGGATGCAAATACACCAGTTATTATGGGCGTGTGGCGGCAGATTTTTAAAGTTACGGCAGTTAACAGGAGCACAACAAAAGTACCCCTGGGGTGTTGTAACACAAGTGGAGTTTGGGGCTACCGGTCTGGAGCTGTTCTCCCCCCACGACGGTGATTCTATCTATTGCAAAGTCTACCTCACACGCATATCTCCATTACGAACGTGCCCTGCGGAACTAGGCCATTACGATCGCCAGACTCTCAAGAGGATCTCGGCTATGGGCAGAAGGCGAGAACTTTACAACATCGGCGGCCGCCCCTGAATCTATCCAAACCTGTGGACTTGTACAGGTGACACAATGAATCTCGCCAGCCCGACTAGGAATCGAACTTCGCTTCTGCCACGTTTTCTGTGTCATTTAACCTCAATTCCATTTTTAAATATTCAACCTCTTATAACTCTGATATTAACAACAACTGAACAAGTGTTAAAGTTTCAAAGAGCAATAAAGAACATTTAGATTCGCCATACAACCTTGTGAAATTTTAAACAACAAATAATTCTTATGTGAGATTAAAGTTGGACATCAAATAATTTATATGATAGAAACATTCATCAACAAAGTATTTACAAAACAAAACTTAGCAAGGATTTATGAAACAAGAGATCTGGTGTGAAATGAACTTGTACAAATAGAAATATTCTGGGAGGTTAAAACTGTAGAAAATGAAATGTACGTCCAATTAAAATTATACAACAAAGGAAAATTACTGAGGTTAAAACTGTGAGATTGAGAAATATTGTGTGAGGTGGAAAATTGCAGAGTCAACAAAATTTACATGAGATTAATATTTGCCACACTTTATCAACGGTTCAAACAAAGAGTTTACGTTATGTCAAATTATATCGTGACCTAAATGATTGGTTACTTCAAAAAAAAAAAAAAACAATTTACTTTGAAAGTTTAAAATACTGCGAACTGGTTACCCCAACAAAACACATAATAAACAAACACAAAAATATCCAATCCTCGCTCCGAGGGAAAAAGTGTCTCAATGATGTAAATGTTAAAATCGTTGCGAGGAAAAAGCGTCTCGGTGATGTTATTAATCTCTAGCGTCGCGAGGACGGACCTCTATCAATCTGTAGCGTTGTGAGCGCATGCCTCGATTAATTAATCAATCTGTAGCGTTGTGATGGCATGCCTCGATGAATTAACCAATCTGTGGCGTTGTGGGGCATGCCCCGATGAATTAATCATGATAACGATGAAAACCACCTAAGGGAAGAAAATATCATAACCTCCGCCAGTTCGCAGTATAATGAACTTGTTTAACTGCCGTAAATGAACTATTAGCAACCTTGTGTGAAGAATTAAGAAGTGTTATAATGTAACGCTTACGTATATGCATCCAGAAGCTTATTCGTAATTAAACAATAAGGTGTTTTCCTGACTAAGTGAATTTCATGAAATCTTCTAGCAAGTGGTTTATTTAAATAATCCTGATTGTTAAATTGTGTTTGCACTAGCTGACTATTAAGAAAAACTAACTTGATTGGTGAATTTACAAACAATGAAACAAATTTACAGCACGTGTTTTGTGTGGACCGGAAGTTCGCATTTTCCGATTAAAAGGCTGCAAGAATTGACCGTGCGGGTTGGGGACAACTGTATCATTATGAAAGTTACGATTGATTGTTGTTAAACAAAGGCTTCCTCCCGTTTTATTAACTACCAAACCAACTAATTTAAACGTAGCGCTTATCACGTGGTTACACCCACACCAGTACATTCAGACTGAATCTACGCCATGCAGTTTCTCTCTCTACCCATAAACCAACCCTGTAACTAGAAACCCCTAGCGCTAAATCGTCCGATTACCAAGCAAGCATTTCCGTACGCCCGGTTGCCTATGTTTAACGATTTCCTTTTTTGTGATTGAATTTTTTTTTCTTTCAAATTCAAATTATTCAAACGTGATTTCGCGCCGCTGTTAATTAATTTCAGCGCGAAAACTTTGATTTAAATTCGGTCACCACAACTTCTAGCATTTTAAGTAAAAAGAAACGCCATATGATTACTGTGTTACGTTTTGCAGAGTCACACTTTGTGTGTACGTCAATCAGAAGACAACATTATGAATTTGTAAGAATTTTAATACAATATATTTGATACAGTGTGCACAAAAATAAAAGAGTCAATAAAAATTCTGTTCCAAAAATCAGTGTGGCCTACATAGTAAGTGTTCAGCATTTCGCCAATACAGTGTCTTTAATCTAAAAAAAAAGAGAGTAAATTAGGTAACTTTAGCTTTATGGCAGTTGGGGACATACACAGCAAAGGACGTCATATTAAGACGACGGAGGATGATTTCAAATAAGTGACCCCTTCCGGTAAAGCAAAAAACATTAACTAAAAAGAGAGATGGAACGTGTTTTAAGAGAAACTGCGATAACAACACACCGCCAAATCTACGGACGAATGAATATATTCTTTCCTCCATGCCAAATCAGTTCGAGACGCCACTGATTTCACACTGCCTGAGTGGCATCATTTTAACCGGCGGGTTGTAAACGGTAACTGTGGAGTGAACGAATGGGGCATTTTTTCACCACAGGAAAGATAGGGCATCCTTCGCCCTCTTAATACAACATCCTTGCACACAGGTACCTAATTTTAATTAGCGCATCTGGAATTACCTCTTTATTAGATTCGAGAAGGTGTTCATCACTGGTCATCAGTGCTCATATTACTTTGGAATAGCTACCTAGTTAATATTCACACCGCCGCGCCGTGGTCTTCCACTGCAAACCTAGAGTTTTATCCCGCATTGCACTGGTTCTAGCCGTCGAATTCACCACTTAAAACTTTTCAGTGCTTATCAGTCGATCGTCTCACGAAACAACAAAGTCGAAAATCTTATATTTTTCTTTTACTCACTGGAAATTTGTGTCATATGTATGTCGGAACTTGAAAATAAATAAATGACGAAATTTCGTTCCTTCACGAGACGAACAGACTTATAAAGAAATACGTATTTGGAAGTAGAGTTAATCACTTTTATTTTCTGTTTCCAAATATTTCTAGAAACACTTTATATACACGATGATTTAGCCTAAATGAGGAATGTGATTTGTAGTTAGCGGCAACCCAAAATACATTATTTATTCATTCCTTGATTAAGAATACCAGAATTCCAAAAATATCACAAATCCACGAAATATGTGGTTTTAAAAACGTCGAAACTCTGTAACGCATTACGTTTAAAATAAAAGAATAATTCTCTGAAAATGAGTTTCACGAATCCATCGTGGATTTTTCTTGTGCGTAATGTAATTGTATTTCTTTACAGTGCCATTATTGGAAAATTTAGATTCATCACTAAATAAAATGTTCCTTATAAAACTGAGATCATTTAATAGCAGCCGAACAAAATTGCAAAATGCAAATCTTCATGAAAAGCAGTCTCTCATAATTCATGGACTAACTGCATATGATACGGATGGAACTTGTTAGTCTTTAAAATTCGACAGACAGAAGATTGACTTATGACAATTTTTCTCGCAATTGCCCGTTGCCCAATGTGAAAAACAGTCTCCAAAACCCAAGTCTCGCTGTCCAAGTTAAAACACTTTTTCGTTGACTTACAGACCAAATGTTGCGTAATTTAATTTAAAGTCTTGTGAAAGTTTTATCTGTTGGATGTCTATGTTTGGGATATTTCTGGGCGTACAAATTTGTCGCTACGAGAATATTTTTTTGACTCTACTCAAAATTGACAGGAGAATGCAAGCTTGGATTCATGACATTTTTTAAATTCTACTATGAATGAATCAAGGAATAGAAGAAAAATGTATTTTGTTGTGCCTATATGGACAAGTCAAATTCGTCATTTACGCTGAATCATCCTGTAAATACATTTTTGTAATAAGCATTCACGTTCGGTAGAAGTAGCTGACAGAAATTTTTCTAGATCACTAGAAATTAAGGATTGGCATCAACTGTCTCATTTTCTAATTCAAATGTCAAATCTGAATTGTGTGGAAAAAAAACAAAGTTTTTCTAATTTTTTTCCAATTTCAACACGCTTGGTTTCAAGAAAATCCTTAAATACACCATGGAAACAATTTACACAAAAGTAGTCACGAGAAAGCCCATTTTAAAGGAAAAGAAACAAGAAATATTTCGTGCTTTTCAAAAAATTACAGAGAAAAATGGTCAATCCTTGGGTAAAACGGAAACAGTCAAACTGATACCTACTTTCTGATACATTATACACTAGAATAATTATGTCCGCAGTTACACAGCTTAAAAAAAAAGTTACCAAATCTAGTTACATCTACCGAACGTGACTTCTTTATATACAACCGTTGTTGCATTCTTTGATCACCTACGGGGTATGTTTCCAGGGCAGTAGGCCTTGTTTACTGGTTGCTACGGCTAACACGACGATGAGATCATTTCTTACCGTCGAGTGAACGGTAAGTAATTACATATTCAAAATTATGTTTCTGCGTAGATGAAACCATAGTAATAAATTTTGAAAACTGAAAGCAGGCTTCCTTGATGTGTGATAAGTTTCTTTCAGCATCAGGAATTGTATAAAAAACGCTAGAATTTTGTCGGTCGTAACAAAAAAGAGTGTAAGCATTACGAACTGCAAGGGGTTTACTGGGCTTGCTCCATCTCCAAACTTTTGTTTTCAACCAGTACGCTTGATAGACCATAAAAACGCTTGAAGGAGAATAGTGATTGTTTGATTTTAACTTTCCCAAATCCTTCGGTTGTGAACAAAGAACATCTTAAGGCGGCTCCGACTACGTGTATTTTGGCCCTAAGGAGAAATACGGATTACATTTAAGAAGTACATCTTAGTTTGTCCCGAAATTTTTATCAAACACGCCTTGAACATTATATAAGAACATATTGCAATATTGGAGGTTTACCTTAAATAATAACAGTGACACAGTGCATTATGAGTATAAGAAATGATATGTTTTCAACAAACTAAAGCACTGTACTGGGAACGGTTACAATATGACGATGAATCTATCACAGTACATTGTTATTCGTTATTACGTTAATGCTCATAGGTGGCCCCACAGTTACGAATTTTAAACGGTAGTTTTGAGTATTTCATATAAATTGAGCATTTTAGACGTAGCCTAGTACGAAAATCTCAAACGAAATGCTCACTCATCCGCGGTGAAGCCATTTTTTTTCATAAGTAATAACAAAGTTTAACAAAGAATTAATTAATAGCAACAACGACATTACCTTAATAATTTCAACCAAATCTTAGGCATTTGGATTGAATAATCTCTTTACGGCGAATGAATTGGAAGAAGCATGTAGATGATAAAGTGGAAAAAGCACGCTCGGCTCTTTGGCAATGTCGTAGGGTGGTGGGAAGGTCGTGGGGTTTAAACCCCAAGATCGCCCTCTGGATCTACACGGCAATAGTCAGACCTATGCTGTGCTATGGAGCTTTAGTTTGGTGGCCCAAAGCCAGACAAAAAGCAACAGCCCTGCAACTGGAACACGTTCAGAGAAAGGCGTACCTCAGTGTTACAGGAGCAGTGGGAACCACTCCTACAGCGACTCTGGAGACACTTCTTTGCTTAGCACCTCTTAACCTTTACATAGAGGAAACGACAATGAGGACGTCTCTAAGGCTTCACTTTCTGGGAGTATGGAACAAGCAAGCCCGCATAAAGAAACACACTCGCATCTTGACGGAGGCGTTCAACAGAATACCCTTGTTAAGGATGGATTGTGACCGAATGGGCACAAAATTAATATATGAAAAGACATATGGAATATCAATGAATGATAATTCAGAAGGAAGAGCGGACATCGATATCTATGTCGATGGTGCCAAAACAGATATTGGTTCAGGAGCCGGCAGCGACTCCGAACAACTGAACGCACATATCAGTGTAGGTACCTCTCGGCAACCACATGTCTGTCTTACAAACAGAACTGATGGGAATAATGCTGGGAGCTAGAATCGTTGCTGAACGTGAAATCGGCAACAAATCAATACGCATACTTACTGACAGCAAGTCTGCACTACTAGCCCTGGACAGCTGCATGGTTCGATCCGGGCTGGTTTGGGAGTGCAGACAAACGCTAAGGTATGTAACGCAGAGGCATAGTGTAAAACTTTGTTGGATCAAAGGACACAGTGGTAACGAAGGAAACGAGAGGGCAAATGAGATGGCGAAGCGAGTCGCGCGGGGATCCGAACCGGCAATCGTTCCGCCGCCCTCTCGAATGAACTCGTAAAGCAATATACCCATAGACGCCATGAGTAAATATGGACGACGTTGAGCAGCTGTCGGCAAAGTAGAGCTTGTATGGAAACACCAGACCGTAAGTTTCAAGGGACAAATTGAGTAAACTAGTAGGATTCCTTACGGGACATTACCAGATTAACAAACATCTACATACGATAGGAGCGTAGCAGACCCAATGTGTCGTTGATGCAATGAAGAAGAGGAAAGAGCTGAGCACATTCTTCGTGAGTGTCCAGCCCTAGCCTCCTACAGGAAATCCATACTAGGGAACATCTGGCCTAGTGTTGCAAAAATCAGGGAGTTTCCACCCTCTGCATTACTCAAGTGCAACATTCAAGCAGTTAGGTAGCTTGACGAGTAGAGGAGCGGGAAAACACCGTGATATGGACTTGGGGACGGTATAATGGGCCCAAAGGCGAGGCCTAAGTGTGGGCTGGCTACGGTCAACCCTCATAAATTAAGAATCCAGAATCTCTTTACGGTTGCCGTAGTTAATGACAGGAAACAACAAATTTTAAAAGTAAAAACTGAATTTCATTCGTTTGTTAAGTACAGTCGCGGCCACCCAAAAGTGGACGATGTCACTCAAATGTTACAATTTTTTGATATACATATTAAGTCAGGGTTTGTTCAGTGGCATCCGTGTAACACTATTACCTACAGATGCATTATCAGCATCATTATAATTCGTATCAAAAATTTAATTGTAAATTTATGATATACTACTTTGGGCGACATTTAAATTTCTACCGATTCTGCGTTAAAAAGCTGACCAAATAGGAAAGTAAATACATATATTAAACAAAGTAATATTATTGTAGCTAGTGGAAAATAGAATACGCTGATATAATTATACAATCATACGAGTAAAAGCGTTAGTAATCCGCAAGGGCGCCGTTAGATTAAAATTGGAGTCCTCTTCTCATGGACAGAATTAGATTATTACTCTAATCTAATTCTAAACAGCTTCATACGGTTATTTGTAGTTTCCATTGTTGTTTTTAAATTGTATTTCAAGAGAGTTCCCCTATTTTTTTCCGATATGTTACCCAAAAAGGGAATGCTACAATATATGAATGTTTCTTGATTACTATTTTGCCTTTGTGTTTTTATTTCTTTGCTTTTTGTATCTTATCCCCTAGCCTTTTTATGTCATTTCTTGTATACTTATTATTTATGGCTATTTGTCTAATTACATTTTGTTCTTTTTCTTCTTGTTCCAAATGTGTCATTATATTATAGAACGATCTAAATGGAGCAATTTTTTGTGTGAGACGATGTTGTGAATTTTTTTTTAATAACTGTGTCTATATGCGTTGCTTTTCTGTATATTCCAAATTTCAGTTTACCGTCCTTCTTCATAATCTTGATGTCAAGGAAATTCAGTGTGTTGTCTGTTTCTTCTTCCTTTGTGAAGTTGATGTTTTCATCCAAATGGTTTAGAAAATGCATGAATTTTCTCAGATTATCGTCTCTATCTTCCTTCCAAATACAAAAGTCGTCAACGTAACCTAACGTTCTCTTTAAAACGATTCTCTTCCGATTCTTAATCGAGAACTTAGGTCTTTTTTTCAGGAGTGTTTCTTCATCCACAGTAAACAGTGACCCAATATTATAATTTGGTTTCACCACTTGCAGGAAAATAAAATGTTTAGGAAAAACTGCGCGAACAGATGCCAACATTTTCTAATATATGTAACGCATTGCAGTCAGGCGCTCATTTATTATGCAACTGGTCCGTGCACATTTATCCACTCCCATACGTTGACAAAGAATCGTCCTGAATTTCTGCTTGGGCAAACATAATTTTCATTATATTTTTTATATGTATAATTAACACGCCATTAAATTTTCAGCATGACTCAAACATTTTTTTTTTATTTTTAGAAATAGAACTTTGGGGTGGTTTGCTTCTAAATTAACCTCCTCCAAACTGTCGGCTTTTTTTATGTTTTTACTTTATTTCTTTTGAAAACCAGCTCAATTATTGAAATGTCTTTGTTGACTTAGGAATAATATGAATAAACAATTTTTTTTTCGCACCTTGCTCCTATGCGCAGTAGCTGGTGTTCCCAGGTAGGTCAGGCAGAGCGACCGTTCATTATGTACTCGTATATTCTATCCGAATTATATATACCAGGTAAAATTACAAAGTGCATCAAACACTTCATGAAACATGTGTCATGGCAGACAGCTGCAAATGATCATCATTATAATCTTGAGAGCACTTTAGTGGGGGTTCAATAACAACTTAAAGTTAATGTTCGCTATATTTGAATTCGGCGCCTCTATTTTACAAAAGTCTGTGTATCCTGCAGCCCCACGTTATAGATAACACACTTGTGCAATATTCTCAGTTTCTCTCAAACGTTGATTAAGCCTCACAGATACATTTTGTCTGGGTGCCGTCTGAAAGGGTAATGCAAAGCGTGTTCTCTTGGCTCATATCACAGTAATCATCGATGGAATACATTTTTGAAATTTAACGACAGAATTGTCACAATTACTGACATTTCGTTATTTTGTTATTTTGTTTCCATTGTTTGTTTAATATAATTACCATGGTAAGACACCCCGACAAAGAAAAGTATGTATATCATTACCTTGCAATGTTGCTACTGTTAGTTTACAGCTAATTCCAAGGATTTTAAGGATCCTGTAGATTCTTTATTTTCAAAAATCAGATATTCTCAGTGAGTAATCTTGTTTTTTTTGTGATAATATGCATGTTTTGAGGTAATTTTAAACAACATCAAATTAATAGATTTTTAATTAATTACTTTTTAAATGCCGTCTTTAAAGACCAGAAGATCAAGAAATAAGTGCCTTAGAATTTTTTAAATACTTTTCTGGTGATGACTGCAGGCCGTTCTAGTGTGTGGCGCTCCGTTAGTGCGCCATTTTTGATATACCGTGTATATTATATTTTCGTTTTAATAATATTGACTAAATGTGTATTGCTTTTTATTCTGTGTATGTTTAGGTGCTGAGGATTCAGTTTGTTGTATCGGAAATGAAATTAATTTTTATAATGAAAGTGTATACTTACTATAATATTGCTTATTATTTTTTTTGTAGCAGCTTGACTGTAGCCTCAATTGTGGCATCGAACTGCTCACTTTGCAACATTTCAACACACGGAATACCTTCTATAATTGCTTTTTGAAATATATGTTTCGAACATTCCCAGTAGAGGATGTGTTTTTTGAGCTTATATGTAAGTTCTTTTAAAGGTACAAACATTGCACCCAGTAACCTAAAGTATTTCGTAATGCCTTAAGTATATAAGTAAAATTGTATACGATACTTGAAGACGGGTAAACACACTTGTTTTAAAAATTCAATTTGAAAATCAGGTAACGGAAACGATTCCATTTCTTTCGCAGATATGTCTTGTGTGATGTTCTGCTCCGCAAGTAGTTCCTCGTATAGATCTAGAGCCACATTTTTGACAACTGACCAATCCTGCAAAATTATAAAGTTAATCTCATAAAGTTAACACGATTATAATAAAATTATAAAAATTAGGCATGATAAAAGTTTAGCTACTGCAGCAATCCAATCAGCCTTTTTTTGATAGATCTGAAAAGACTAGAAAAAAAATTGGCCTGAAATGCAGTACCACAAATCCCGCTTCTTTGAAAAATTAATTTTGCGAATTTGTGATTGTGATAGCCGCGATAAATTAAAGTAGAAATTGTAACCAGTAACCGCCTAAGAAGGTAAATTACATCATATAAATTCGTTTTGATACCCGATAATTTTTTTTGTTCCTCTACCACATATCACTTATTTTTTAATGACACACTACATTTTTTTAGAGGTCTTATACAGATTGTTTTTTTGAATTCATTAATGTATCATACTTTTGTGGGTCTCGGTGATTTTGAGAAATAGCGACAGTTACGGTTTTCAGATTTTTATTAGCTGCTTACGGTTTGAGAGTTCGAGGAAGAAGCAGGAAGGGTGTTTGAATTGTCAACAAGTGGGCTAGGTTTTGGAGAGGTGGAAGTAGGTAAAAAAAGAGTTTGGAAAATTTTCGAAATGGGAAGAGAAAGTAGGAGCATAGCATATAATATCTTTAATCTGTGAGCATAGGGCAGGTAGACGAAAGATAGGACGCAAGTATTTACATTTGTACAGAGATTTACATAAATTATAACTGCGTTCAGGTAGATCATGTGTTTTTGGAGGAACGGTTGTTCCTGCTAGTGTTTTTCATGAAAAACCGCTTTGCAGGCGTTCAGGGAAGCGCATCCGTCTTCCTGACCTAGCGGTCCTCGCTGTTGTGAAAGCTGGCACCTTGTCGTCGTCGTGCGGTTGATCTGTGAAGGACGCTGGTTCGTCTGTTGTGGGCGTCGTCCTCGTAGTGTCGCCGCCAAACCATGACGTGGCCGTGTCGTCATTGAGTACATACGCGGGTTTGAGCCGATCTATGGAAACGGTGACATCTCCACCAGTGGCGGCTCGTCAGGGGAGGCAGTGCCTCCCCTGGAGAAATTGACTATTAGTTTTTGTTTTAATATCTGTTAACTTCAAATATATTTTAAAGATATATAAATAACTTTTATAGAACACTGTGATTTATTAAAACGCATCTTGGTAACATATTTTGAAGTACGTGCTTTCGGCAGGAATAAGCGCTGATCATCGCCGTGTAGGCCAGCTTCAGACGGAGGCATGCCTCAGCTAGACGGATATCTTCAGTATGATTAGTCAGTGGTGCTAATATGTTTTTGAGAAAGACAATAGTCATCAGTGCTTTATCAAAGCGCCAGCGGCGACACCAACGCCTACCGTCCTTAAGCCAATCAAATCGAATTTTTTAATCTCCCGGTGAAACTGCACAATGCTGAACAGGGATGTTGAATGCATTTAGTGTGAATTTAGTTGTGCATTAATTAGATGCGAGGAAAGGTGTTCACTGCATGTGCATTGCCAAGGTTATGTATTAAAACTTTTAAGTTAACTTGAAAACAGTCGGACAATGAAAATCTCAGGGTCGGTTGCATAAACGCAAATCAAATTTAATCTCTGATTAAGAACAATTGTAACTATGATAATAACAATCGTTACTATGGAGTTAATCAGAGATTAAATTTGATTTGCGTTTATGCAACCGGCCCTCAGTTTTGCAATGCTAATAGGAACATAAGAATCTCTAATCTCCAGAATTTCTTATAAAGTTTAAATATTTAAGCACGGTTTTCTTATCAACAATTGTATGTCAAAGATTTAGAACCTCTCATCCAGATTTGAGCAGAACTTTATTAATTAATTGATTAATATATTTAAATCAGCCCTAGATCATATGAATTAATGTTTAATGCTAATAAAGCAAAATCTGTAGTCTTTACGCCTTCTCGTTGGTTTGTGTGAAGCAATTAAATGTTTTTTATTCGAGAAGTGTACCCATGTAGAGATATGAACCTGACTCAGAGTTATTTGTATTGTTTTCATAAAAACGAATAAACAATCTGTGTTTTAACAAAAGTTTGTAACGAAAAAGTTGCGTCACCTAACGGAAAGACCACGAGCCGCTACTGATCTCGACCTTTTATGTTGACGACGAACGTTTTCGCCGATTGCCTTACGACTCTGTTCGGCCCGTCGCATGGCTGTTGAAGTGGCTGCTTGGGACCATCTCGTGTCGTACAAAACTTGTTCGGAGGGGGCGAGATCTTTGAATACGAAGATGTTCCCTTTGTTGTGTCGTGATGCATCACTAGGGCAGAGGTTGCGTATGTGCTGGTGGAGTTGTCTCACGAACTCGACATGGTTGTTGGTGCTGTCGTTGGAGCGGTGTGACCCGATAAATTCTCCGGGAAGACGGAAAGACTGGCCATATAATATCTCGGTGACTGTACCCTGTCTTCTCGCCAGGTGGAACGAATGCTCAATAATACGGTGGACAGTGCTTCCATCCAGCGCACATTTTGTTGAGACATGATCGCTGCTTTTAGTTACGCTCGACCATGCGGTTGGCGGCGGGATGATATACTGTTGTCTTCAAATTAGTTCAAATGGATTGTGCCTAGCATCCGGTTTAGGTGGGTATTCGTAGTGGGATGCCGAATCGTGCAACTTCGAAAACACACAAAATATTTTTCGACGCGTTTCGTCAACCATGCTGGCATTATCTAGGCAAAGCTAAACTCTGTATTTGTTCGACTGTATTTCAAGGCCGAGGGAACTTGTGTATAAGTAAACCTAGACCACATTTTTGTTCAACATTCAGTGATGTAACACACTTTACTTCGCCATAACATCCACCTTTGTTGTGGCCAACGATATTCGAGTTTCCTTTAAAATGTTACCTTAGCCCATGTTCCACCAGTCCACCACTCATGCCTGTTTTTATTTGGACGAATTGTTTATATGTTTGCGTCGCGTTGGGTGTCCTATATGGTATGCCCGTGCACACCCTCATCCCCTAAAATTTCAATTTTTTTTCAAACCATAATTCATCATAAATTTTAAATAATCCCACACTGAATTTCATCGTGGCACAAACACTGATGTGCGTATTATAGTCGTACCGCCAATGATATAAGCCCGTATATATCCCTTATAATTGACTTTTTGTTGGAACTATATTTTATATATATATATATATATATATATATATATATAAGGGTAGACAGCTGAGACACATAATTTCATATTTAGTTTCACAAACAGTAGTAACGATATTTTTGAAATATATTTCTATGTGTGTGCCGCCTGCATGAATTAAATCACGGTTCGAATTATAATCGTTGCTGGTAAATCATTGCTGTCTTCACACCGGTACAAAATTGCAAAATGCTAATCCTCATGAAAAGTCAGTCTCTAGTAGTTCATTGACAAATTGGATATGATACGGATGGAACTTATTAGTCTTTAACATCCGACAGAAGATTGACCTACGCCAATTTCTCTCGCAACTGCCCGTTGTCCAGTGTGAAAAACAAAGAGTCTCTAGAACTCATATCTCGTTGTGCAAATGTGTAGGGGTTAAAACACTTTTTCTTTTATTCAGGGGCCAAACGTTTCGTAATTTAATTTCAAGTCTTCTGAAAATTTTGTCTCTTGGATGTCTACGTTCGGGATATTTCTGGGCGTACAAATTTGTCCCACTCTCCCACTAGAACATTTTTGACACTGCTCAAAACTGACAGTAACATAAGAATGCAAACTTGGATTCATGAGATTTTTTAAATTCTATTATGAATCAAGGAACAGAATAAAAATGTATTTTGGGGTGCCTATAGGGACAAGTCAAATTCGTCGTTTACGTTGAATCAGCTTGTAATAAGCATTCACGTTCGGGAGATGTAGCTGACAGAAATTTTTCTGTGGTTAAGTTTCAATCTTAAGATCACTAGAAACTAAAATTGGCATTATAGACAAACTGTCTAATTTTCTAATTCAAATGTCAAATCTGAATTGTGTGGAAAAACAAAGTTTTTCTAATTTTTTTCTAATTTCAACTCACTTCGTTTCACTGCAAACCACTGGAAAAACTTTGTCTCTCATTGCGAAAAATTAATTAGCAAAGACTAGACAGAGTTAATGGGCACTTCAACTGTAGACAATATCCCCCCGATCATTATTACGCTGACCGAGTCTGGTTCAGAAGATGATTTCGGCGATGATGATGAAAATTCACCATTTGAATCAGATCCCGAATTTGTTTAGTTTTCTTGGTTTCCTTTTATAAATAAATTTTCACTTTTTGTTTTTACATTTTAATTAAGGGAGTTTGATCAAACAGAAAATTCATTAATTTCTTACTTAATCATTACTTTCTCAGGGTAGGTGTGCATTGGAGAGCAACTTTCACGAGAGTTCTGATTTTGATTTTATACCATCTTTAATCTCAAGTTGTCATTTGAAATTTCAGAGGTCTATTATTGTAATACACGCAGGGGCGGCTGGTGCCGGGGGGCACAAGGGCACGTGCCCCCCGGCACCCCAAATTACGACGTCTACAAACACACTGGAAATGGTAAAATAGTAATTTTCAATATTTAAAAAATTATCCGGAAATTTGTGTCATCATTATCAAAACTAATTTTTTTATGTCGCTCCATTCGTATAAAATGTATCAGAACTTACATCCACTTACTTCTAAAGATGTGTGTCTTGGTTACATGATATTATTATTATTATTATTAATGATATTACTTTAAATAATAATACTCAGTGCTCTTTTTAATTTTTCAACCACAGGGCCACAGATTTGTGATCTTGAAATGTTATGTTATATATAATATAATCCAAAAGCAAAAAACATTTGTAATCAAAGTATCGACGCGGCAGCGCTGGTTCGAGCGTGTGAGATTTTATTCCGCGCCTTGATAATGAAACACGTAAGGTATTTAAGATTGTAGAATATTTCTAATGTAAATTTAAATTTTTACGTGAAACTTTATATTAATGGTCTTCAACACAAAAAATGAAGTACGTATTTAAGTATTTTACGAGGTTCAACCCCTAAGTGGATGAAAAGTGGTAGCGATATTTGTATGGGAACAATATTTCTGCTGTAAATTTTTACGTAGACCTTGATATTAATACTCTTCGACACAAATAATGAAACACGTATTTCAGATTTTTCCGAGATTCGACCCCTAAGAAGATAAAAGGAGTGACAAGGTTTGTATGAGGAAAAATATTTTTATATCGATTTTCACTGGAAACTTTGTATTAATGCCCTGCAACACATTTTTTACTTGAAGCTTGGTAATAATGCTCTTCAAAACATCGAATTGTCTAGGCGAGCAAAGCCGCCGGCGAAAAGCTAGTCTAATATAAACTTTAGATTATAATAACTTATTTATGCATTAAATGTTTTTATGTTTTTTACTTACCTTTGTATGATCAGACAAGTCTGCGCATGTGACCAAAAGACCAACGAAGACATATCGGTGTTCGGGATTATTTTTATTATACCCACCCTAAAACAATAATAATTTTAGACCGACAGTTACTCAGTTATATTTTGTTGTAGATCGTTTGTGATACTGATATGTGTAGCTAAGTTATCAATTCTTTTACCTTAAGATTTAGTATTTAGTCGAACTTTTTTGTGTTTTCCTGAAAACAAAATTACTACATACTGCAGTTTTCGTTGAGATGTAAAATATGTCGCGAAATTATCGGCCGTGATGCTTACGTGGCTAATTAGGTCAGAAATTTAAAAAATCACACAGTATAAAATATTCTGCAACACTATACAATTTTCACAATTATGAAAGTCTGCTACTTAAGCTGAAGGCGAGTTAAATGGGAGTTATAAATTATACTTTTCTTGCAACTATGACTAAGGTTTTGCATTAAATGTCAAACTTCAGATGTCTACATACTTATTAATTATAGCCCCTAGAAAACAGGGGCTATATTATTAATGAAAGGATATTTTTTTCTATGTATTAGTGTGGCGTAAATCTAAGTAACAATATTGCTTATGTTCAACAAGTTCTATTTGCAGGTTAAGAAGGCACTAAAAATATTTCCTGTGTTTTTACACTTAAGTAATTTTCAATAAACTGATTAACTAATGTTTCAAATATTGCACAAAATTTGGCGGCTTGTGTTCTACTTGAATACTAAAAGTTTATTTCGTAAATTCTAAGGCGAACTGTAAAATTCCTTCGTAAATTTTTAAAACTTCTAATAAAAAATATCTAGTATCTGGATCGTTAAAAGTGTTCCCAAGCAGCAGACTGTCGTCTAATTCACGTCAATTTTTGGTCATAACTCGTCGGCGACGTCATTCGCCTAAAAAATCACGTGATAATGACGAGATTTTTATGACTTACTTCTGACGTCATTTAATGACGTCAAAAGGCCGTCTTTCCTTCGTCATTTTTTATAGATTATATTTATATGATCAATTAAATGTGGGTCGTCGTATTCTTTAAAAAGTGGCCTTCATAATGCTTAATTATATTTAGAGCAAAAAATACAACGGCTTTATTAGAAATTCACCAAAGACAAGTTTTTTCATTCTAATAATTTCTAATAAAATAATTTTTTGTAAGTACCTGCTTGGCAAATTATAAATAGAACATCCGGGGTTGAGCGTATAATAGTGAAAAGATCCTACGACACAAACAAAGTCATAAAAATTCTTTGTCCATTGTCCCTAAAACGGGACAAGGTTTTGAAGAATTCCTTCGTCGAATTTTGATTTTATAAAGACGTTTATAAAGTGATGGTGGTTACCAAAAAAATTAGAGAGTGATTAGTATTCAGTTTTATTAAATTTATTTCATCTAATGAAAAAATAATGCTCAACTTCCGTGTTTACTATACAATACATCAGATGTTTGGGGTGTGCATTCGGACTTGCCCTTTTTTCGGTATTTATGTTTATTGCACTTCATAGTGAAGCATTCCAATATTTCCAGTTGGTTCTCAACCACCGAAACTTTCTCGTGTATCCGTTATTACTCACTTCATTTTGAACGCAGTTTTGTGAAAATTTCTGCCATTCAGTGTAGGTTGTACTTATTTAAACTAGGTAAGTTAATATCTAATAAAGTAATCATTTTAATTTTTCCGTGTTACTGTTATTTTTGATAACTGTACGTAGATAACAAAAGCAGTTTTTTAAGATAAGCTGGAAAGACCACCAGTAATCACTGAAGATACTCCCACTGATTATGAAGAACTTACGGTGATTGTTTTTGAAAATAAGACGCCATAAAATATTGTAAAGGTATGTTATTGCAATTTTTTATGAACTAATGCTAATGTAATGAATATAATTTTATTCTAGATTTGAAACAAATACAAAACACATGTGCGAACCGAAAGAAATGCTGAAGGAAACGAGTGAAAAAATCTCCCAACATGGAAACGTCATCAAATCTGACAACTGAAAAAGAAAACAAAAATAGAAGTTATGCCGCCAAGACCACACCTAAACAAATTTTGACGAATTACAAGATTATCTTTGCAAATTAGAACAAGCAGATTTCTTTGTAAGTTAAAAAAAATACAGTGAATTCATATATACATATATAACATAATATTGGATATTATATACAGGTAGATGCCTGTAATACTCCGATACTTTTTGGTAACTTGCTATACATGGCACATTTCGCTTCATTGTAAAAAGTATTGACAACGAGATTTTCCTGATAGGCTGTACTTTTTTGTCAATGCAACCATTTTACGATTATCCGTTAGATTCAAGTCAATTTAGCATTTTTAAAATGCAGAATTTGTCTTCTGCTTTAAGCTGTTATCCCTTAAATTTAATAATAGCCAAATGCTTGCTATTGCCCATAGACGAAAAAATGATTGCATTTCCATTAATCCATGCACTCTAACGGGTTTTTCTTTTCAGTGCAATAAATTGAGGCAAACTTAAAAAACTTAGGTTATTGATATGATTGTTAAAACAGAATTAATTCTTAACGGTACTTTTTTGTGTGTTGGGGACAGTCAAGTCGTCGTGAATTAGATAGTTTTACATATAATGTGGTTTTACAGTGCGTTTTCAAATCAAGTAACTTCAACAATGCGATTCAATTGTCTTTTCCCTTTATTCTAGTTTTTTTAAATATTTTTTGTAAATAGATTTGTTTGTGTTTTTAAGACTGATGTATAGTTTATTATAGTTTTCTTTTAATATTCTTTGTAACTAAATAGTTCTCTTTGTGTTTTTAAAACTGATTTTTCTTTAAATAGCATATTTTATTCCAACGTTGATTTTTGATTATATATTGTACATTATCCTTTTTTTTGTTTATACTAATTATACTCGTAATTACCTGTATGCAGATTTGTTTGTGTTCTTAGGAGTGGTTTATCTTTAATTTGTTTAATTGACATATTTTTTTATTTGTTTATTGAAGTTCATTGTTGATTGTACAGAAGTGTAGTAAATTTAATTTTTTTACACTAATTTGTTTTAACTTTAATTAATATATACTTTGTTATGGGGTTTACCTGGTGATTATAACGAATTATAATATTTTATTCAAGGTAAACAATATAAAAATATAAAATTATTTCAGCGTTTTATTTATTGCATATTTTTTTCTAAAAATCAAAATTTAAAAAACGTCTTAAAATGGACAATAAATGCCGTTTCTAGGACGTCAGTACATCATGTCAATAGTTCGTTATAAAATGACGACTTTAAGACGTCAGTACATCACGTCAATAGTTCGTTAGAAAATGACGTCATCTGGACGAGACATTTGACCGTCATTGGTACGTCAATATCACGTGAAATCTTTGGTCACTATGACGTAAATGATGACCATTTATTCACGTGAAAAAGACGACATCATGTTGCCTGGGTTGTTACATTATTTTACAAAATATAAGATGTTACGCTATAAATTTCAAGAGAACTTTACTTTTAAGATGACGTCTTCAAGTTTTTGAATGAGACAAACAGATGAATTCTGATGAGAGCAATCTGTTGTGTATTAGTTTCTAAGGGGCCAATTCCAAGTTGGTGGCGCAAGTCACTGGTGCAGCGCAACTTTATAATGCTAATTTGGGTATCAAATGCTGGTTCCTAGGGGTGACGGAATCAACAAACGCAGTTGTGTCGAATTTTCCATTGAAATTTGCACCATGGAGTTGCGGCACCTCTAGTAGGCAGTGCAAGTTGGCGCAATTTGAGGCCTATTCTGTAAATTTTATGTTAAAATTAACACCCCTGTTAAAAGTTAAATTATAACATGAACGTTAAAAAAATAACCGCAATCGATATTCTTTATCACCATTTTTAACATATCTTGTTAAATTTGCAATTTATAACAGGGGTGTTAAAATATACAAGGTTGTCAGATCGAGTTTCAATATCTATCATTTTCTATCGCACTAAATGCTAGACTTCCATCTTTGTTGTTCAATTATTTGAAAACTTGGAAATATTCAGACTATCGAATAAATAATAAATAATTTTTGCAGCTTTAATGGGGTTGTAGTGTAATGTTCTGTCTTTTAAGGTGCATCGAAACCTTCGTTTTAGCCTTCCATCCAGTACTTCCACACAATTTCTGCTCCTACGTAATCTTTAGTTAAATATTCCTCGAGGTTCAATTGGATTAATTTGTCCCGGATATTGTACCATCAGCCAAGGGCTCAATGGATATCCTTCGTCGCCTATAAGATGGTAGTCAATATTTTCATTTAAATATTTGTTTCTTAGATGCCTGTTTACATTAGACATCATCCATATAGCGGAATCATATACACTTTCCGCATAACGAGCATTCATATTTAAAATTTCTAAATGAGCATCTACTATAATTTGAACATTTATGCTATAAAACCCCTTTCGATTTAAATACGGTGCTGCTGGATGGACAGGATGATTAACTTGAGGGGTAACAATTGCAACGTGCGTGCCATCATTTGCACCTACAGCATCTAAAATCAGGAAGAAATTGTTTTAAGTTGATGGTATAATATTTGTTTTTGAATCAGACCCTTACGAGGAAACTGGTATTTAAAAAAAAAAAATTGCTTCTTGTAATTTATTTCTTGTACGATAACAGGAAACTTTATTCAGGTATTTAAAAGATGTTCATTTATGATATTTATTACTTGCAACAAACAGCGACTTACGGACGGTTGACTAATACTAAAATTTCCTCCATAACCAATATCTAACTACCATGACCATAGAAATGAAGAGAGCATAGAACTTTAAGATAATTTGGGATACCTGTCTGTCGCAAGACATTATTCATATGGGGTGCTAGTGTGTTTGTAAGATATCTTGGTGCGTCTTTACTTAATCTGAAAAGTTTTAGAAAAGAAAAATTTGGAAGGTCGAAAGGATTCGCACCATCTCGTAAGCAACGCCTAGCAAGACGAAATTGTCGTCTAAAATGATTTTCGTAGTTTAAGTAAAAGTATAGTATTAGATATGGTACCTTTGTCTTCTTTCTTCGTTTTGTATTAACAACAACCCTGGTAC